GTCATGCGCCCATTCCCCATTGGTTGTGTCTTTTGTCTTCTTGTGCCTTCTGACACCAATTGTGTAAAACGAGGTCATGATGACTAATCTAGCCTAGTCTAAGCTAGTGACCTGTATATCAATAACCTCTGCAGGAACAGAAAACGCCAACTTGGACGGGGTACATCTTAGTACCGAGGGAGTGGTACATGTAGGGACCGATGTACCCATATCCGACCGAGGGATACGTGTCGGCACGTAACATACTGGGTGTCATTGATCCCTATGAATAGTACCTCGGGGAAAGAGGGACTTGTGAACCGATGAGTACGTGTCATGATCACAGTAACAAGAATATACTGATGCCGAGAACACGTGTCTTCATCTTGGAGTATTTTGGAAATGTCCCATAAAAAATTACCCTTGAATAATTAGTTTCCTGCGACTGGCCTCGAATATACACCTTCCAATGATCTTAATTTAAGATTAAGATGTCTAAATTGTTTAGATCCAATAATTTACATTATGATTTTAATTTTTTAATTACAGTAATTCAACCCATATATTAAAAAAATACGTGTTTTTGCACTGAGACACCCTAGTGTTTTTATATTGTGACTCTAACTGTAATTTTGAATTCGTATCACCCAAATTTCGAATGGTTATCATAATTTGCATAGAAAATTGAAAATTGTGTCACTTTTCTGCTCAATCACAAAATTATATAAGGCTATAACCAATAATTTTGCTAACGGTTTCTTTTTGATTTGGACAAGGTATTATTCCTGGTTTTATTTTTTTCTTTTCCTTGTTCTTCATTTCCAATAGAATTTTCAATCTCTTGATATCATGGGTGACCACCCAACAACAATAGACCCCAAAACTTTCACCACTCTACTGATCATTGCTCAAGATTAGAAACATATTAGATGAATGAACATTATACTAATCACATGTTTTTTATTTGTGGTTGAGAAATTTGAACTTAAAATCTTCAAAATAGACGTTGAAGTCCATCTATCGGGTTTTTTTTAACTCTTTTTTCCACTGTTACGAAGTTTGCCCAAAAAAAAAAAAAAGTTGCACCATGACCCGCTTCCAACAAATTGAAAACCGAGAGTGCATTATAAATATCCAATGGTGTAGCATATATATTTATTTTTCCGGCCAGCAAGAGATGAATGAGTGGAACTGCCGGAGAAAGAAATCATGCAACCCAAAAAAAAAANAAGTTTCTTCTTTACTACATAAAATTTCTCCTACAAGACTCATATTTGACAATTTGGGTTATTTTACTCAGCAATGTCCAGGTGATTGGCACCGCAAGCTTTAGCTACACTATTCCCTCTTTATATCAGTGTCATGGAGCCCCGCCGGGGAAAGTTAATAGAATGATATGAACTCTGGACTTGCCATATAGTCTCACATTGAAAAGTACTGTAAGCTAGCTAGCTCAGAAATCCCTTCAAATGAACAAAAGAAACCCAATTACCCTTCGCTCAATATCAAATGTCATACATCCTCACCATATTGTTGTAAAGAATACCGTCATCCCGCCTTGTGCTGTACTCTAACGGCTCATTTTGCACTTACTAGCAATTAACAACCAATGATCTAGGGAAAAAAAGACAAACAAACGCGCACACACACACATACTTCAAATCAATCGATTTTTTGACTTATTTTGCAATAGGTGAAGAAGGAGATTGGTATTTGGTTGTAGGGGTATGCTTGTTCAAATGATGAACAAGTAACTTTAACTATGAATCAATTTGGACCTTCTGTCCAATTCCAGTAAAATAAATAATGGGATCCAAGAACTCTATTTTTGGGGTACAATATAAAAATTAGGGTGAAATTGAAAATTTTAAAATATTTTTAGGTATAAAGTGCAATTCTCTCAAATAAAAAACCAGATAAATGAAAGAACAGAAGGCGTTCTTTCCCTCGTTGCACCGACTAGTCCCAATGGGCAAGCTATCTTCCGCGATAGAAATTCCCGATGGTCGACATCGCACCCACAAAGAAAATGGCCGCTATTCACAGGAAAACGACACATACCGCGACCGCCGTCGTCGTAGTAGCAGTTTCAACCGAAGTCCGAGCCGCGAACGAAGTTTCAGCCGAAGCCGTAGTCCTAGTCGCAATCGCAGTCGCAGCCCAGCCAACGGCTACATAAGGTATGATGACCGCTATTCCAATCAACGCCGTGATCGGCGATGTTATTCCCCTGATTACTCAAACCCTAGAGGAAGCCCTAGATACGAAGGCTTTAAATCCGAGCGCAAATCGAACAATTCTGATCTCTACAAACCGTTCCTCGATCGCGATCATAGAAATGGTAAAATTGTGGAGTCGGAATCGGACGAAGAGTTGAGAGGCTTGAGCTTCGAAGAGTACCGGAGGCTTAAACGCCAGAAATTGAGAAAGATGCTGAAGAGTTGTATATGGAATTGCACACCTAGTCCTCCTAGGTACGACAACGAGCCGGACGAACTAAAACCAGACGCACTTGCCGAAGAAAAAGAAAAAAGTGACTCCAGTGAACCAGAGAAAGAAAGAGCTGCAAAATTGAAAGCGAAATCGAAAAACTCCACTGGTTGCTTGTCCGATAATGACTCTGAGGAGGATGTTTCAGAATCTGAATCAGATGATTCGCGATCGAGGAAAAAGAGGAAGAGCAAAAAATCAAGATCTAGGGGTAGAAGTAGGAAATCTGTATCTGAAAGTGAGAGTGAATCAGATGAGTCGGGTGATGATGACTCTGAACAAGAAGTTAGGAGGAGCCGAAAGAGGAAGTCCAAGAGACGGCCAAGCAGGCGAAGCAAGAGCAACAGGAGTAGCGGTAAGAGAAAAAGTAGTAGTAGTAGTAGAAGAAGGAAGGGTAGGGATAGTTATTCGGATGAAAGTGAGAGTGAACAGAGTGAAACTGAGGTTTCTGATGCTAGTCAATTATCCGAGGATGGTCTAAGATCAAAGAAGCTGAAACGCTCATCCTCTTCGCTGTCAAAGCGCAGCAAGAGCAAGAGCGATTTGAATGAGAGTTCCGATGGTGAAGTAGATGCAAAAAGTAAGGAGAATGATGATGAGGTGAAGACCAATGAATTTGACAGCGAGCTCTTGATGTTTAAAGAGATGATTGAGATGCGGAAGAAAGCTGCTACGGATAATGAACCGATGGTTGGGCCAGTGCCATTGCCGAGGGCCGAAGGACATATTAGCTATGGTGGGGCGCTTAGGCCTGGTGAAGGTGATGCCATTGCTCAGTATGTTCAGCAAGGGAAGCGCATTCCACGTAGAGGTGAAGTGGGTCTTTCAGCTGATGAGATTTCGAAGTTTGAGAGTCTTGGGTATGTAATGAGTGGTAGTAGGCATCAGAGGATGAATGCNATTTTGCACTTACTAGCAATTAACAACCAATGATCTAGGGAAAAAAAGACAAACAAACGCGCACACACACACATACTTCAAATCAATCGATTTTTTGACTTATTTTGCAATAGGTGAAGAAGGAGATTGGTATTTGGTTGTAGGGGTATGCTTGTTCAAATGATGAACAAGTAACTTTAACTATGAATCAATTTGGACCTTCTGTCCAATTCCAGTAAAATAAATAATNTTTATAGCGCTGAGGACAAGCGAGCTTTGGCAATGTTCAACTATGAGGAGAAAGCAAAGCGTGAGCAGAAGGTTATGGCTGATTTGCAGCGTTTGGTGCAACGCCACATAGGGAATGAAGCTGGCCCTTCTCATGATCCATTCGGTGGGGGGGAGAGTGCTGATGCTTGATCTTAATGTATGTTCTNTAGGTATAAAGTGCAATTCTCTCAAATAAAAAACCAGATAAATGAAAGAACAGAAGGCGTTCTTTCCCTCGTTGCACCGACTAGTCCCAATGGGCAAGCTATCTTCCGCGATAGAAATTCCCGATNAGGGAATGAAGCTGGCCCTTCTCATGATCCATTCGGTGGGGGGGAGAGTGCTGATGCTTGATCTTAATGTATGTTCTCTGTTCTTATCTTTATAGGTATTATTTAAGTTAAGCCAGTTGCTTATTAGCATGTCTAAGTGTTCGAACAAAGTAATGCAAATATTGGTAATACACCAATCAAAGGGAATGGTAATTTGTGGAAACCTAAAGTTTGACAGATATTGCATTACTTATTTGCAAGTCAAGATGTTCTAACAAAGTATAGTGTTGGAGTTTGTAAGAAATTTGTGCAAATATATTGATAATTTGTTAATCAAGTGGTAATTGAAAAGTATTTCTTACTCATTGTTGTATATATCTATCTATGACTAAGTGAAAACTGAATTCGGACTTTTCTACGATTTATTATTAATTTTTGATTTTTTTCGTAAAATGGGAAAAATGGGGTTTTGAGGGCCTAAACGATGGAATTCGGCGCAAAACTCACAGATGGCCGTGAGTCTTGATCGTTGGACCGATCCAGATGAAAAACCACTGGTCTCAATCTATTTGGAGTTCAAGTCATTTCAGCCACATATTCTACATTATCTCTAATTATAAAAAAAAATAAAATTACATGAAAATTATTAAAAAATAGAAAATTTCAATCTAACTGATTAAAATAAAAATACGTTTTGTCTAGAGTTTAAAAAAAAATTGACGGCGCTAAATTCAAATCGTCTTATGATTTATTATTAATTTTTTGAATTCTTTCTTAAAATGAAAAAAGGGAATTTTGAGGGTCTAAATGATGGAATTTGGCGCAAAACTGACAGAGCTCATGAACATAGCAATGAGTTTTGATCGTTGGTCCGATCCGGAACAATATCACTGGTCTCAATCCATTTTGAGTCGGCCACAAATATCATGGAATTAGTGATTGTTTTGTCACTGTGAAATTGTCTGATACATTTATAAAAAACATAAACTAATTGTTAATAGCTTGTAAATGTAGAAAGACCATAGGAATTGTGTTTACATATTAGAAACAATCTTTGAAAATCTGGTACCCGTAGATGAACCATCCAGTTTTACCTTAATTACATCTAGCATGGAAAACTCTCATCAATCTTCAACCTCTGCTAGCTTGTTGAACAAGCCAGGTTCATCTGCACTGAATCTTAACTCTTCTATAGATCTTTTTGGTGATGAGAACCTTCATTCTATGCCTCATATGTTTATCATGAATCCTCAAACTTCTCTGAATTTTCAGATTCCCTCAAATTCTCAAAATCCTTCAAATATGCGAATTTTTTCAAAAACTCAGATCCCTTCGTCTGCGAAGAGTGTTCAGCTTCCAGGTGTCCAATCGAGTGTTCCTGAGTCTAATGGTTTTCAAACTTCTTTGAATTGTCAATTTCCTTCGAGCTCCCAGGTGCCTTCGATAGATAGAACTTTTTCGATCCCGTAGAATCCTTCGAATATGCATGGTGCTGAGATCCCGATTGTTCCTTTGAATATTTCTGATGCTACCGGATCTCAATTGCCTCCTCCTAGTAATCTGTTTGGTTCTTTCTCTACTGTGAGTGTATTGAAGCCAATGAAGAGGGTTGTATATAATAACGGGGAGCCACGTATGTACTGGTCCCATGATGAAACGCAGGAATTATCGAAAAGTTTTAGTCAAACACTAATTGGTAAATGTGCATACGGTAAGCCATCACTTGGTGTTGTGAAAGAGTTTATTAACTCAAGGTGGATGTTGAAAGGTGATTTTTCTATAGGAGTGCTTGATCCCAGGCATATACTGATTAGGTTTGACCTTTATGAAGATTATGTCAAAGTTTGGCTTAAGGATACCACATATATAGAAGGTTTTCTATTTCGCTTCTTCAAATGGTTTCCAGAGTTTCACTCTGGTATTGATCCTCCTATGGTGCTTGTTTGGGTATCTTTGCCAGGTCTGCCAGTTCATCTATTCAATAAAGAAAGTCTACGAGATATTCTGAGTCCTATAGGGAGGATTCTAGTGATTGATAATGCCACTTTGCAGTTAACTAGGCCTGGAGTTGTGAGGGCTTGTGTTGAAATGAATTTATTGGCTAGCAATCCTAGGAGGTTCTGGTTAGACGTGGGGGGAGTGAGTGGTAGGTGGCAGAGAATTGTGTATGAAAAGGAATATAAATATTGTTCTGTTTGTCTTAAACTAGGACATGGTGATTATCTCTGTAGAAAGAAGAAGAAGGAGGAGGTTGTTGGCACATCTGAGAGGGTTTCTGCTCTTGTGAATGGTGTTGATCATGATGGAGGATGGCAGAATGGAAAGGGGAAGGTTGTGGCTAAGGAGGTGCAGAATGTTAAACCAAGAAGGGAGTATAGGCAGNCGCTTCTTCAAATGGTTTCCAGAGTTTCACTCTGGTATTGATCCTCCTATGGTGCTTGTTTGGGTATCTTTGCCAGGTCTACCAGTTCATCTATTCAATAAAGAAAGTCTACGAGATATTCTGAGTCCTATAGGGAGGATTCTAGTGATTGATAATGCCACTTTGCAGTTAACTAGGCCTGGAGTTGTGAGGGCTTGTGTTGAAATGAATTTATTGGCTAGCAATCCTAGGAGGTTCTGGTTAGACGTGGGGGGAGTGAGTGGTAGGTGGCAGAGAATTGTGTATGAAAAGGAATATAAATATTGTTCTGTTTGTCTTAAACTAGGACATGGTGATTATCTCTGTAGAAAGAAGAAGAAGGAGGAGGTTGTTGGCACATCTGAGAGGGTTTCTGCTCTTGTGAATGGTGTTGATCATGATGGAGGATGGCAGAATGGAAACGGGAAGGTTGTGGCTAAGGAGGTGCAGAATGTTAAACCAAGAAGGGAGTATAGGCAGAGGATTGTCAATCCACCTATGACTCAAGGGCCAGATATGGTTAATAGTTTTGCTGTTCTAAATGAGGTGATTGAGGAGGGGGAATTGGATAATGTACTGGAGGTAAATGCTCAGGTACCAAAGGTTGTTGATAACATTAGAGTTGATGGTTTGAGTTCTGGTGATCCTTAATTGATTCAAGCAGTGAATGATTTGGGAGAGGTACCTGTAAATCCTAGCATTGAGGAGTAAGTGGGTGATCCTTCTACAGCTGGTACCAGTTTGGAGGTATTCTCTTTTTCCTCTCCTATTGTTTTACCTAAAAATCCCTCTGTTGTTAATGAAGTGGAGAATGAGGTGGAAACTGGTGTGAATGTGATCAATGATGTGATAAATGTAGCTTCTCATAATGATGATGTTAATGGTGTATTTAATGTTGCTATTGGTAATATGGAGAATCTAGGGGAGTGCAGAGTCCTTTATGCTCCTTCTTTGGATTCTTCTTTTTTAATTGATCACCAGTATGGAGTAATGCAAGGGTATGAAGGTGTGGTGCATGACCAAGTTGGTTTGGTGAGTGAGAGAGTTCCACCAGATAAGGGTTACTATTCTGATCAGGCCAGTTCTAGAACTCAGAGGGTTGTGAATGATGATCATGAGAACTTTGATATTTCCCTTTAATGACGATGATGACTATAATGGATTAAGTTCCAGTGGTGCCTCCCCTTCTATCCATTCATGATAAATCTACTTTCATGGAATATGAGGGGAGCAGAAAAAGATGCTAAAAGGAGAAGATTAAAGAAGCTCATTAAACTGGATGATGTGTGTTTGGTTGCCATTCAAGAACCTAAATTGCTTGTTTCCAAGTTACATACCTTTGCTAGAAGTATTGGATTAGGGCATTGTTGCTTCAATACTTTAGCAGAGAGGAATACTTGGCTTTTATGGGATGATAGAGTGTAGTTAAAGGTGTTGTTTGAGCATGCTCAAGTGCTAACTGTGGAATTGACATTTATGAACACTGAGGCTTTCTGGATTTCAGTGGTCTATGCTAGTTGTGACTATGTTCTAAGAAGGTTATTATGGGATCATTTGATTGAGGTTGATATTCCTTCTTTTATGCCTTGGGTTGTGGTGGGTGATTTCAATTCTATATTAAGTCCTGAGGAAAGAAGTGTTGGTGCTTTTACTTCTTTAATGGCAATGGAGGAGTTTGAGGATTTTTTGGATCATAGGGGTCTTTTGGATGGAGGTTTCAGTGGTAATAAATATACCTGGTGTGATAACAGACAAGGGCATGTGAGGATGAAACAAAGATTGGATAGGGCTTTGATTAATGCTTCTTGGAATCTGAAATTTGAAGGTTTGGAGGTGGTTCACTTGGCTAGAGGTGCTTCTGATCACAGCCCATTGCTTCTGAATATTAGGAATAGTCTAGTGCAGAAGAGAATTTCATATTTCAGATTTCAGGACATGTGGTGTGAGCATGAGGGCTTTCTGGACTTGATTCCAGCTAATTGGACTAGTCACTTTTCTGAAAACCCTATGTCTAATTTGTTCATTAAACTGAAGTATTTGAAAGCTCATATGAAGATATGAAACAAATAGGTTTTTGGTAATTTGTTTGAAAATATTAAGACTTTAGAGTTGCAGATCAAGAATGCTGAAATGTTGTTAGATTAATGTTATAGTACTGATAAAGTTATGGAGTTGGATGCTCAAAAAGGCAAATTGGATGATTTGCTGAGAAGGGAGGAAATTTATTGGAAACAAAAGTCAAACATTAGGTGGTCTTTGGAAGGGGAGAGGAACACCAGGTTTTATCATGCAGTTGCTAAAAGTAAGATTCTTAGAAATAAAGTTTCTAGAATTAAAAATCAGTAGGGTGAATGGGTGCAAGGAGATAAGAAGATTGTTAAGGTTGCAGAGGTTTTTTATGCTGATCTGTATAAATCTGAGGAGCATATTCTTCAGGATCAACTCTTTGAAGTTATTCCTGAGTTGATCAATTTTGAGGAGAATGCAAGACTTTCTGCTGAGGTTTCTTTGGAAGAGCTAAAATCTGTGGTTTTTTCCATGGTTTCTGAAAGTGCTCCTGGACCAGATGGATTGTCTGGAAAATTTTACCAAGTTGCATGGGAGATTATTAAGATGGATGTGTTGACTGCTGTGAATTTTTTGATGAGAGGTGGAGTGATGCCTAAATCAGTAAACTCTACTTTGTTGGTTTTGATTCCTAAGAAAGATGATCCTTCTTCTTTCTCTGATTTCAGGCCTATTAGTTTGTGCAACTTCTTATATAAGATTTTTACTAAACTGCCTAACTCTAGGCTTGCTACTTTGCTTCCTGTGCTAATCTCTGAGGAACAACATGGATGGGAGAGGTATTGGGGATTGTGTGGCATTGGGGCAGCTATTAGTAGGTGAATTAGACAGGAAGGTTGAGGGAGGAAACTTGGTGCTAAAATTGGATATGATGAAGGCATATGACAGATTGGNTTGTGCCAGGGAGAGGTATTGGGGATTGTGTGGCATTGGGGCAGCTATTAGTAGGTGAATTAGACAGGAAGGTTGAGGGAGGAAACTTGGTGCTAAAATTGGATATGATGAAGGCATATGACAGATTGGAATGAGATTTCCTCTTGAAGGTGTTGAGGTGTTTTGGATTCTCCAATTTGTTTGTTCAAATCATTTTGAACTGTTTTAGTACTCAATCCTTTTCTATATGCTTAAATGGACAGAGGTATGGTTATTTTGCTAATTCTAGGGGACTTAGGCAGGGAGATCCTCTTTCTCCTACCTTGTTCATCTTGGCTGAAGAGGTTCTGAGTAGGGGACTAAGGAGCATTTATCAACAGAAGGTGGTTAAACATTTTCACATTGGCAGAGGAACTACTTTGGTTAGTCATTTGCTCTTTGCTGATGACACCCTAGTATTTCTTAGAGGGGATAAGAGATCTACTTTGAATGTGATGAAATTTATTGAGTTGTATGAGGCATGTTCTAGGCAGAGGGTTAACAAGTTGAAGAGTGCCATGTTTTGTTCTAAGAGAATTTCTTTGAGCAGGAGGAATGTGTTGGCTTCTGTGGTTGGCATTCCTATTAAACAATGTCTTTTTTTTTTACTTATTTGGGTTGCCCTATTATCAGAGGAAGGGTCAAAAAATGTTACTTTGAAGAGGTGGTGAGAAAGTTCAGGAGCAGAATTGAGGGCTGGTATGCTAAATTGCTATCCAACATGGGCAGAATTGTGTTGATTCAGTCTGTACTTAATTCTATTCCAATCCACATGTTAGCTTGTATGAATATTCCTAAAGGGGTTTTGAGCAAGCTAAATGCACTTATTGCAAATTTTGTCTGGTCTAGCAAGTTAGATTCCAAAAGAAGGCATTGAGTATCATTAGATAATATTTCTAAACCCAAGCTTGAAGGTGGTCTGGCGATCGGAAGTTTTGGGGAGTTACAGTCTGTAGTTAGAATAAAGCAAGTTTGGGGAATCTTGACTGGTCAATCTTTATGGGCTAAAGTTTTTAGAGAGAAGTACTTTAAAGGCACACATATGTTGAGGAGTGTGAATTCTGGGGCTGGTCAAAGCTTTAAAGTGCTG